CTGCAGAGCCCATCTCCCCAGAGCTGTGCAGTGGGCGGGATCCGCTGGCTGAGGGGACAGATGGAGCAGCAGGATCAGACCAGGCCGGTCCTGAGCCGTGGGCACAGCAGGGGGACAGTCACCATCACAGCTCCTCGTGTGGGTGAGAGCAAGGGGAACGGTGGCCCACCCCTGCTGGAAGGCTGCTGGTGTCCCCACTGATTGTGTGCTTTATGGAAAGGGTGAATTACTGTCGGCACGAGCCTGGGAAGGAGCGTTGCATGAGGCAGGGGTTGTCTTGCTGGAGCTTCTCCAATTCCAGCAGCTCCTCCAGGCTAACGGGGCCTTGCTGGGCACAGCTTTTCTCCTGGAATGGTGGGAGTGGGATGTCAATGTCCCTCCCTGTGCCCACTGGCCCTGCTGTCCCAGCCCACAGGCCAGCGAGGCCCCGCTGGACCGGGGCGCGGCCCCGGGGCGCCAGAGGCTGCCGAAGGCAGCAACACCCGCCTGGAGTTCAAGGTATCCGGCTTCTTCCTCTTTGGCTCCCCCCTGGGGCTGGTGCTGGCGCTGCGCAAGACCGTCATGCCTGCTCTGGATGGTGAGCACCTGGTGACAGCCCCCAGCCCTCCCCACGGATCCCCAGGTTCTGCTCTCTCCCGTCCCCTGCAAGCCTGAGTCCCCTGGGACCTGCCCAAAGACGCCTGCTTGGGTTGGAGCCCTGCTTGGGTTGGGCATCTTGCACACCCATCCCTGTCTGTGTCAGTGTTGGCATGTGTCCCCTTCCCCAGCCTGTGCCAGCTCCCTGGTGTCCTGGGTTGGCTCTACTGGCTTTTCTTCTTGCCGGGTCTTGCCCCTTTGGTGTTGAGTTCCCAGCCGTGCTTCCCCTTCCCCACCAGCCCTTGCCCACCATCTCCCTGTCCCCACTGGATTCCTTACCAGGCAGCCCCAACCCCCCTGTCCCCCCCTGGCAGTGGCCCAGCTGCGTCCTGCCTGCGAGCAGATCTACAACCTCTTCCACGCCGCCGACCCCTGCGCCTCCCGCCTGGAGCCCCTCCTGGCCAAGGCCTTCCACGCCATCCCGCCGCTCAGCGTCCCCCGCTACCAGAAATACCCCCTGGGCGACGGCACCTCCTCCCTGCTGGGTGAGCAGCCCCCATCCTGGCCTCCTCCCAGCCCCCCGGGGTGTGCTGGGGGCTCTGGGGTGCTCACAGCACTGCCGTAGCTTGGCTGGGGTTGGGGGGAAAGTGATGTTCAAGCTTTGTCCCCAGCTTTGGGGCTGTGTTGGGGGAGGGGTTCCCAAGGTGGTTGGTGTCCCCAGGGGGCTCTGAGTGGCCTCACTTGTCTCTCCCCCTGCAGAGGAGGCCCTGCAGACACACTCTGCTCTATTCCTACCTGAGGTGGACATGGTTGCCCCCCCAACCCCCACCAGCAACTTCGGGGGCTTCTGGAGGGCCAACGAGCCAGGAGACCTCCCCAACCCCACCAGCACCAGTGAAGTAGTCAAGAGTAAGTGCCATCCCTGCCCATCCCAGGTCACCACCTTGGGATGAGGTCTGGGGATGGATCCATTCCAGCTCTCCCCACAGTCCTGGAGCGCTGGTGGGGCTCAAAGCGCATGGACTACTCGCTGTACTGCCCCGACGCCCTGACTGCCTTCCCCACCATCACCCTGCCCCACCTCTTCCACGCCAGCTACTGGGAATCCTCCGACGTGGTGGCCTTCATCCTGCGCCAGGTAGGGCAGGATGGGTGGGGTGGCACCCTGGGGCTGGTGGAAGCTGAGCTAGGGCTGTGCTGCTCCGGCAGGTGGTGGAGAAGGAGGGTCCTCAGCCAGCAGAGAGTGAGGAGAGCTCCATCTACAGCCCTGCTATCCCACGGGAGAAGTGGCAGCGCAGACGCACACCCATGAAGATCCGGGTACGTGTGCCAGGGCCAGTGGGACCCAGACCCTTTGCTGGGACAGCCTTGGGCTCTGGTTGTGCCCAGGCACGGTGGCGTTGGGTTGGTAGTTGGACTTGATGATCTTAGAGGTCTTTTCCAACCTTCATGATTCTATGGTGGGACGTTCCCACAGACTAGTGGGGCCCATGTGGCACCTTGGGGGCTCCCTCGTGTGCTGACTGTGTCCCCTGTGCCCCTGCAGAACGTGACAGCCAACCACCGGGCCAGCGATGTGATCGTGTGCGAGGGCAAAGCGCAGGTCCTCAGCGGGCGCTTCACCTACGGACCCCTGGATGTGGTGACACTGACTGGGGAGAAGGTACCACCACCAGGACCCCCATCAAATGGAGTGGGGGTGTCCAGGAAGGGACCCTGGGCTGGTTGTCACCCATGGCAGAGGAAGGGATGTGTCAAACAGGACCCTGCGTGGGATGGGGGGAGAGGGATTTAAGGACTTGCGGGTTGGGGATGGGGCAGCATCTGGAGGTTCAGTCCATGTTCAGCCCTTTTCCCCCTCCCAGGTGGACATCTACATCATGACACAGCCATTCTCAGGGAAGTGGCTGCACTATGGCACTGAGGTGACCAGCAATGGCGGGCGCCTGACCTTCACCATCCCCCCGGACAAGGCTCTGGCCATCGGCATCTACCCCGTGCGCATGGTGGTCAGGTGAGACATGGGCTGTGGTGCCACCTCAGTTCCTCCTCCACCCCTTTTGCTAGAGAGGTCCACCTGCCCTCCTGGCAGCAGAGACCCTCCCTGAGCCCCCCCCATGCTCTCCCATCCCAGGGGCGACCACAGCTACGCTGAAGCCTACCTGACAGTGGTGGCCCGGGGCACTGAGTCAGTGGTGTTCAGCATCGACGGCTCCTTCACTGCCAGCGTCTCCATCATGGGCAGTGACCCCAAAGTGCGGGCGGGGGCTGTCGACGTCGTACGGTGGGTGCCCCTCAAATAAAGGGGGACAGTCTCCTCCTCTCGTCATGGTGTGGGGGCAACCCGCCAGCAAGGCTGTCCCTTCCTAGGCACTGGCAGGATTTGGGCTACATGATCATCTACGTGACGGGGCGCCCTGACATGCAGAAGCACCGCGTGGTGGCCTGGCTCTCCCAGCACAACTTCCCCCACGGCGTCGTCTCCTTCTGTGACGGGCTCACCCACGACCCCCTGCGCCAAAAAGCTGCTTTTCTTCAGAGCCTGCGCTCCGAGGTGGGGACAGGGACGTGGGCAGGGGGCAGGGAGATGGTGCTGGGGGTGGTGATGAGGGCTGTGCCACGGCCTGTGTCCCTTTCCATCCTGGGGGTTGGAGTGGAGCTGGACCACGCTGCAAGGGCAGAGCTGGCAGCTCCCAGCCTGTGGGCGTTGTGACCATCATAAAGCAAGCGTGTCCCTGTCCCATGGGGGTGGCTGTCCCCATGGGAAGGGTAACTCCCTGCCATAATGCTCTTGTCCCTGGCCAGGCTGAGGTCACCATCATTGCTGGCTACGGCTCTACCAAGGATGTCTCAGTCTACAGCTCCGTGGGTCTGGCACCAGCCCACATCTACATTGTGGGACGGGCTGTCAAGAAGTTCCACAACCAGTGCCAGGTATGGGGGCTGGGAATAAGCTGGGGCTGCAGGGGACAACTGCTGACCCCACCAGGGTGCTGGGAGTGTGTGCTGGCCGGGGCTGCCAGCTCAGGCTGCCTGTGTATCCCACAGTTCCTGTCCGAGGGCTACGTAGCCCACCTGGCTCAGCTGGAGGCAGCAGCAATGACCCACTCCCCCAAGGGACCCCCGCGGCCCATGCTGGGCAAAGGCACCTACGGCTGCCCAGCGCCCGTCGACTTCCTCCGCAAGCAGAGCCAGCTCCTGCGGTCCCGGGGCTCCAGCCAGGCCGAGCGGGACGGGGGGCAACAACCAGGCCCCTCTGGGCTATCCCGGGCCAAGCCCCGCAGCATCAGCCTCAAGCTGGAGGGTGAGGAGTGAGGGTGACAGGGCTACCAATCCCCCCTCTGCCACAGCCTTCATTTCCCAGCCAGGAGCAGCCGGGGCCAGAGCCTGTCATGGGCCCTGAGCTGATAGGAAGGAGATGAGGGTGCTGGGTCCTCAGAGACCCCGGGGCACAGTGCTCTGAGTCACTCCAGGGGCTGGAACCATCACCTCGGGGTTGATCCACCACGGGTCCCCCCTGCTCTGCCTCCACCCTCTGTCCCCCCCACCCAGGTCCTTTGGGGCTGCAGAGCTGCTGCTGGGCAGTGCCTGGTGGGGTTTGGCCACCCCCATTTGGGAGCTGATGTGCTGGGGGGGGCCATGGCTGCACCCCCAGGGCACGCGGCACCTCCCTGCTCCCCATTATTTATTTCCCTCGGGTGTCGCCAGGCACGGGGCAGGGCTGGGACCGGGGCAGCAGTTCCTCTGTTCTCTTCTGTTTCGTGGCGGTGTGAAATAAAAGCGATGTCAAGATGAGGCGCTGGTGCCCGCGTGGCTGCTCTGTTCCCACCAGCTGCAGCACTGCCACTTGTGTTCCTCTCCTCAACCTAGAGCTCAGGGACACAGCAGCATGCAGGGAAGTGGTCTCAGGGCATGGCACTTGGGTCCCCAGCAGGGTGACAAGCTGGGGTGGCTCTGGGTGCACCAAGCTGCATGGTTGAACCTTTGGTACATGAGGGGACAGTCATGATATTGGGGCTTCAGCTGCTTGGCCACCACCCATCACCTTTGGGCTAGGCTCAGGGGCTTGGGCCACAGGGTTGAGGGTGCTGCAGCAGTGTGGGCTCAGCTTGAGCTCCTGCTTTGAGCTCTGTGTGCCCCAGAGCTGCTTTTACCCCCTGAGCCCAGGACGGAGCATTTCCTGGGCTCTGCACCTTCCCTTGGCAGCTCTAACACACCCACAGAGCATTAGCAGGGGATCAGGGCCAGGCCTTGCCAGGCTGCCCCCCTCCCCAACCCCTTTCTGCCCTGTCTGGAGCTTTATTTCATTTATCTCTAAGAGCAATTCTTCTAAGTGACCAGCTGCCTGCAAATAGTTTTACTTTTGTTTTATCTCAGCATAGCACAACCAGAGTTTCAGACAGATAGCAGTAACGAGCAGTTATTCTATATAAAATATTTCCGACGCTGACATGATGCTGGAGAGGAGAGGAAACGGCCTGGGGGTGATAGCAGCAGCCTTGAGAGGTGACGACTCAGGATGTGGCACCAAGTAGAGGCATGATGGGGTAAGAGGTGGGGCTGAGGTTTGGCACCTGAGCCCTCCCCGGCCGTGAACAGCTCGGCCAGCCCCGGGTGCACTGGCTGAGCCCAACATAAAGTATAAAAAACACCAAACGATGAATAAAAGAAGTTGGCAGAGAGCAGCAGGCTTGAGCTCAAGTCACCTCGGTGTGACAATGACCATCGTCTAGAGCACGCTGAGGAACATCAGCCCCGTTCTACCATGGCTTAATACTGTCACTTGTAGTGCTCTGCCGTGGCGAGCAGCCAGGCCCCCCCCCACCCCTCAAATGACTTCAAATAAGTAAAATTTGTATTAAACATTAATAAACATCCATGAACATTCCACATGTGGAATACCTAAAAGAACCTGTGGGGCTCTGGGCTGCGGCCACGGGCTCTACTGCGAGAAGATGCCCTTGAAGCGGATCTTGTCCTCGGCGTCCTTCTCCCGCAGCCGGGCTTCCAGGCTCCGCAGCTCCTTGGAGACCACGGGCCGCAGGGAAGGGTCCAGGGCCAGCACCTTGGCAAAGTCAGCGTGGGCCTCTGCCACGTTCCACACAGCTGCATGGGCCTTTCCCCTCTTGAAGTAGGCTTTGACGTTGTCTGGGGGAGGGGGAGGGAGGGAAGAAGAGTGTTGGGGGTGTCCCCAGTACCTGCTCGTCCCTCCCAGTTCCCACCAGGCTGGCCTATGGCTCCTTACCCTCGTACTTGTTGAGGATGGAGGAGCAGTGATCCAGCACCTCGTAGTACTCCTCGCACTGGAGCTTGCACTGGCAGTAGTTCAACAGCAAGGGGGTGATTTTCTGATCCAGCTCGATCCAGTCTGGAGAGCCAGGCTGCTCCTGCAGGATGAGATGGAGCAGGGACAATGAGGTGCTGCTCCCACCCACCCTGCACCCCAGCTGGAGGGGTGTGGGACCAGGGGCCCCACCTTCATCTGCAGGTTCTTGAGACAGGCAATGGCATCATAGTATTTGGCAGCTGCCTCCTGCACCTTGCCCTGCTGGAACAGCTCGTTGCCTTCCTTGTGGATCCGAGGTACAGCCTGCAGCTTCTCCTCATCCGTCATGGCCCACGGGTCTTGCTGGTAGGAACCAGGTGCCTCCACCTGCAGACACTTCATCATGAGGGCAGAGCCCCAGCACGCTCCTTCCCAGGGCTGGAGTTCTGGGGGCCATCCCTGAGCTCCCCACCACCCTGGGGCTGGGAGTGGTGGGAGAGGCAATACACCAGCACCGGCAGGTGCCTCACCTTGAGCACTTCGATGTCAAAGATGAGGGGCTGGGGGTTCTTCTGGAGCTCGTCGAGGTCGGGGTATCCCAGGGAGTAGTGCTCATGCAGCTGGGCCATGCTGCAGCAGTGCCGCTGCCCCTCCAGAGGGTCCTTCCCCGCCGCGATGTTCCGCAGGCTCTTGGCCACCAGCGGGTACAGCACCACGTGCTGGGGGGGCAGGGGAGACGCGGTGCTGGGAGCGGGGCCGGGATGGGGACAGGGACAGCCGGGGCGTCGCACGCGGGGCTGAGCCGCGCGTGGCTGCGCGGCCGGCCCCGCCCACACCCTACTAACCACGCCCCCTGCCTAAAAGCCACGCCCACAACCATCAGACACCACTTGCTCCAGACCACGACCCCA